TGAGGTGATGAAGTTGTAAGTGAGGCTGGGAAATCATAGCTAACAGATGCTTTTGTCTTGTCATCTGGAAACAATGAAGTTGGTAGTGGCTGCTACCGTTTGAGTGCCTGGAATCAACCAAGAATCTTCAATAAGGGAACGTCTAGTTTGTAAACTCTTCCAAATACTTTTCCACCCACACCCATGTGCCAGATTTAAGTTTTGTGGATCTAGTAGAGATTGCAGGAATTCCTGTTCTGTTCATTGAGTATTCTTATTTTTGGGAAAGGTTCAAGTCTTTTAAATTAATTTCTTCCCTTTTCCCCCTTGTCCTCTAATCTTATCTAGTGTTACACCTTTCATTTTGCAGTGAGTAGCATTAAATCGTGAAGGTGAGGGTTCAGAAAAGAGTCAGTCACATGCTTGCGCTTGCCACTGAAAGGCAAGATCATCTATTAATAATAATTCTGGGAACTGAGTTTTTGGTTATAGGACATCAGCTTCAGATAGCTGAGGTTTTGGCTGATTGCTATTCCTAAGTAAGCCCAAAGAGAAAGTTTTCCTGGAATCAGTGCAAGTTTGGGGTTAGGCTTTCTTCAATTATGGTTGGTCTTACTTAATTTGTGAAAACAGAGTTCATGTATGTATGAGGTAGGACCAAATTCAGCACTTGGCAATTGAATCTGTGTTTTGGTGTCTGGAATGATCACTGCTTAGTGGGTATAGACTGGTATTAGACAAAGATTTTTGGAGATGTATTACACACTTCCTGGAGCTTTTTCTTTTTTAGTACCCAGTACTCATTTTGAAGTATTATTGATTATTATCATCTGATTGTGATAATTGTTTTATAGTATCATTTTAACCCCTTTCTCCATAACTCTGATGACATTGCACTGGCCAGCAAACAAATAAAAAATGGATGCCAGATAATGAGTGTAATAATTACTGCTGACTGCTGTCAGGTGTGTCCAAAAGTAATTTAAAAATCAGTTTTGTCTCATAAGGCGCTAGTGGTATTTGAGGATTTTTCAGTACCTTAAGCTTTAATCTTGTTTGCACACTGATATGATAGGCAAGGCAGAAATGGACAATTAAGTGAGATGAGAACCAGAAACATTATTTTGTTTTGGCATTCTGTATAAAAAAAAGTTGTTTTTCAAGGTTTTTTTTTTATTTTCCGTTGGCAAGAGGAACATTAACACACATCTTTCATTAAATGTGGGAGAGGTTTGATCCTGACAGTGTTCTACCAGAAGAGGCTTATATTAACTGTGCAGTTTCTACTAAAGTGGTTGTTTAGTCAGGACCTCATTGTACTCAAAATGTCAAGATTGTGACATCTTCAAACATCAGCTAGAATAGGGGACTAGTTTCTCTGGGGAGTCTGCCTTAAGGCATTATAGTCTGTTACTGCTATTTTTATGCGTGGGTGGATAAGTATCATGCTTTTTTCGAAAGACAAAACTATTACAGACTGATTTCCCCTCTACTCCCCTCACTTTGGATAGCGACAGTGTATTACAAAATACCTATCAGAAAGCCTTCTTCTCATCCTCATTATCGTGGGATAAGTTCATGGGGACAATGTACATGTTAAAGGAGTGCTAAGAATGAGGAAGAAGTGATCTTCTCCCTCTAATACACTACTGTCAGCTCCTCTATCCATGAAGAAGTATCATTGCTTTCTCCTGCTCGTATGTATCGGTGTTTCTGACAGAAACAAAATGAAAAGTAGTTTCAGAGTTTTTTTTCCTTCACCCCTCCAGCAAACACATTAGTTCAGTATTTCAACTGAATGCATTAATCCTTTGCAGTCAGCAGGAAATGTTGTCCTCCTCTGATAAAGCTGGAATCTATCTCATACTGCAGCTGTGTGTTCTTAGTCCTAGGCTACATATAACAACTTCACAGAATAGTTAAGGTTTGAAGGGAGCTCTGGAGGTTGTCTGATCCAACGTCCAGCTAAAGCGGAGTCCCATAGAGCTTGGTGTCCAGGATCATGTCCAGTCAGCTTTTCAATATCTTCAAGCAGTAAGACTCCACAGTCTCTAGGAGTAACCTGTGCCACTGTTTGGTCGCCCGCACTGGAAAAAAATTGTTTCCTGATGTTAAGATGAAACCTCTCATATTTCAATCTGTGCCCATTGTCTTTGGTTCTGTCACTGGGCACCACTAAGAAGAGCCTGACTCTGTCCTCTTTGTACCCTCCCTTCAGAAATATATACTCCTTAATAATAAGATCCCTCTGAGCCTTATCTTCTCCAGGCTTAATAGTCCCAGATCTTTTAGCCTTTCTTCATAGGAGAGACACACCAGGCCCTCAGTCATCTCAGTGGGCCTTTGTTGCATTCTCTCCTGTATGTCCATGTCTCTCCTGTACTGAGGAGACCAGCACTGGACACAGCACTCCAACCTGACAGTACTGAGTAGAGCAGAAGGATCACCTCCCTAGACCTCCTGGCCGTGCACTTCCTAATGCACCCAGGATACCATTCTTTGTGGCAAGGAACCATTGCTGGCTTATGTTCAACTTGGTGTCCACGAGGATGCCCAGGACATTTTCTGCAAAACTGCTTTCTTGCTGGATGTCCCCCAGCATATACTGGTGCCGGGGGTTGTTCCTTCCCAGGTGCAGGACTTTGTACTTCTTTTGAACTTCAGGACATTCCTGTCAGCGCATTTATCCAAGCTGTCAAGATCCCACTGGATGGCACCATGAGCCTCTGATATATCAGCCAATTTGGTGGACAGTTTGATTGACACCCAGTTTGGTGTCATCTGCCAATGACTAGACAGGACTGGACCCAGTACTGGCCCCTGGAGTGTACTGCTGGTTACTGGCCTCCAACCTTTGTGCTACTGATCATCATACTGCTATGTAGGATGATGGTATCAAATGTGACAGATGTGGTATCAAGTGATGTGACAAAAAACAGTCCTAGACTATTATGGAAGTTCTTATGATTTGCTGCTAAAGAAGGGTCATTTTCGCAGGTCTTGTAGTCTGTATGCAGGGAGAGCTTCAGAGTAGAATCAGGAGGGCTGAAGCACTTAGTGGTGGGTTTAAGTTTTCATGTAACAATCTGGGCAGAAGGTGATCAGAGGGTGATTCTGTAGGAGTCTGGAGACATTTATCTGCTAAAGTTTTCAAAAAAACGCCACTCTTGAAGGAGCTGCAATACTGAGGACTTGCTGACTTAAAAATTCTCCAGATATTCAGCACATACCCTGTAATTCTGTACTTCTGGGGGGACTCTGTGTGTGAATCAGTGTCCTCTGTACTCCAAATGTCTGTGGCTTACATGGAAATGAACTCATCTCTTCTGCTTTCTTTTAGAGACTTGCTTACAGTCTTTTAATCTAACTTGATCTAAACTGATTTGTATCATGCTTCTTTCTGTTCTTTTGGTGTAATGACTTTCTGAGTAAGAAGGAAAACGTGTGTATGGAAGCATGCAAAGTGTGAATTCAAGTGTTGCTATGCATCTAGAAGTGTGTCAGTATAGTAGAGGCAAAATCTGCTTTATTTTCTATGTTCTAGTAAAGTAGAATGGAATACTCTGGCTTTAGCTTCTTGCATTTGTAGTGTGAAAATAAGCAAAATCTTGTACCTTAACATGTCTGTGGCTTCGAGGATTAACTCCACTTAGAGGAGTAACTCACCCTGCTGTGCCTCGCAGTGCAGTGAAGCTGAGTAGTGAATTGTAGCTGCAGTTGTAAGCAGCACATTGGCAAATGCAGTATCCCCAGTGGGCTTCATTTTTAGGTCGTCTCTGTGTGGAAGTGGGAAGGAAGGAAGGATAGGTGAGTGAATAGGGACTAGCTGGCTCTTTCACAGCTGGTCAATAAGTCTTTTGATCATGGACCATAAAACAGCATGGTTCTCGTCTTTGGTGTCCAGCTATTGTAGTCTAGCCGATGCTAGAAGCAAAGAAGCAAAAGCACAAGAGTGTGAAAGAAGATAGAAGGGAGTGACTGTGATTCTCTAGAGTTAAACAGTCTTTAGTCTTAGACTCCAGAAAATGGTATAAATAACACTTGGACTTTGTATGTGAAATGAGGAGACAAGAACATTTTTGCCATTTGCGGTGCATGCACAGCAAGCAGATTCCAGTTTTGATTTTGCTGTTGCCTCCAAAGAGTTGTGTAGTCCTGAGCAGCTTGTGAAAGGTATAAGTTTACAAAGCATTTGTCTGCTTGATACACTTGTAGTGTGTTTACTTTTTAGAGTCAGAGCCTCAGGAAGTTTGAGCCCACTTATAGGTTGCATACATCTCTGAACTACTTTTTGTTCATTCTCAGTTTATATGTGTGCATGCAGATGTATGGTGTCTTCCTTCCTATGATTGTCTTCTGTGCTCCAGTGTCTTGAACACAGTTGGTTGAGGACAGGCTCAGGAAGCTTGGCCATGTTTGAAATCCATGTCACATACTAAAATCTTCATGTGGCCCAAAGCTGCAAGATACTTTCTACATGGTTCAAGAGAGTCCCCAGAGCTTGGGGTGTGATTTGTGCATGGGAGGTGATTGTGTCTCCTTAGTGTTTCTATCGCTGAAAGAAATAGTGAAAGACAAGACTGCAGAGTCAGCAGTGCTTACCAGTTGGTTTCCTGCCCTAGCTGAGGATTTGGCTTACACCACAGCCAAAACCAGCTCATTTTTCTGATCAGTCACACAGTGCAGCCTTGGCATGGGAAAGGCACTTGAGTGCCAGTGGCCTCTTGTGGATCAAAAGCCACAGCTTGGCCACCCATTGTATTGCCATGGTCTGTTTAGCTACATGTTCACTACATTTCTGAAAATGATAGTCAACATCTGTTGAATTTGGTGTCCAAATTTGAGTATAAGAAAAATCACGTTACTCTTAAGCTCTGTGCCATAACTAGCCTGTGACTTAGTTTCACTATTTGAAAAATAAAGCATGCCTAGTAACGGCCTTGGGGCTGAATTAGTGTATTTTGTCCTATGGCTTGAAGGTGCAAATGGTAGTTTATGTAGCTCTGCTAACTGACTGATTTGGGATTCTTGTATTTCCTTAGGTACAACATTGATCCTAGCTTGTACTGTCCATTTTTCTCTCTTGGGGCATGCATGGAAGGTTTGAACTCTTTGTTCAGTCAGCTGTTAGGAATCTCCCTTTATGCTGAGCAGACAAAGAGAGGAGAGATTTGGTCTGAAGATGTTCGAAAGTTGGTAAGTATTCTTGTTCCCAGCGTCTGAAACCAAAGGGAAGATAGACAAGGCAGCGTGTTCCTGTGAACCAAGTCAAATTTTTTTTTAAAATTACTTGGGTACCTATCAAAAGGACAAACTAGTTGTCTAATTTTAGTTCAAGTTAGACCTCAGGGGCTTTATACTTTCAAAGTGTCTTTTGTATGTTTGGTATTTTATGAACTTCACAATATCTCTGTGTAGGGTGCCTGAATCAGAGGCAGTTTTTCTGTTTGGAGATTATTGCTGTACCTTTCAAGATGTCCTTTTGAATGAGCCCTGCTAGTTTTTTTAGTTTCAATTTGTAGATAACCATAGATGACTAGAATGCTGTAGGTGTGGATCCTAGCAGTCATGTGTCTTTTCCTCATTTTTTTAACTCTGTGTGTCATCTTTACTTTGTGATTGATTTTTATGCCTTTTATTTTTCTGCCCTCTTTTTAGGGGTGGGTGGAAATAAAAACTTGGGCAGTAACTTGGGCAATAACTTGCTCATCAAGTTCCCAGGTTCCTCTGTTGTCTTCCCTACATTTGTTGACTGCCAGATCTTCTCCAGTGCTTTTCCACCTCCAGCCTCCAGCAAGAGCTGCTGTTCTTTATATCCTGTGGGTCAATTTTAGTTACTCCTTACTCTTTCTATTTTTATATCCATGGTAAATTGGCTTCTGTTTGACATTTGAGGGCTGCTTTTAATACTGATCTGTGACTGATTAGTTTTGAGTGAAATGCAGAAATGTCTGTAGTTTGAGAGACAAGCTGTGAATTTTCTATATATAATTTTTTCAATTAAAATTACCAACTGATTTTACATTAATTATTCCCAGTTCATTTGGCATTTATTAATTTTATATCTTTGAATTAGAATATTGTGTCTTCAATTTACACATCAGTGCTTTCACTGTGGAAATGATACTCTTTTTTTCTTCAGGCTGTTGTTCATGAAACTGAAGGTTTGCTAGGATACATCTATTGTGACTTCTTTCAACGACCTGATAAACCACATCAGGTAACATTTTTTATCTGATTTCAGTGTGGGTTTTATTTGAGTAATGAGTGTAGCATTAGTGCCATTTATGTTTAGTGTAAGTTTTTCGTAAAAGTTATCTTGATTTTAAAATAAATTAAATTTAAACAGGGAAAGTCTGTAGCTCGAAATGTGCTTTTAGGTAATATATTTTTTTGTGAGTAACCATTCATTTAAAAAACATTCTCAGTAGGCTGAACTCAGACTCTGTGGTACAGACTAACAGGCACTATGAAATGTCACAGAACTCTGTTTAGAGAAATGGTAGATATTTAAACACCTATTTTCTGGTGTTCATAAGTAGGAACAATCTGAAATTTACACTCTCTAAAGGTAAAAACTCGTAATGAAAACTAATTTTTATTCAAAATTCTACTTAAAACTGTAAATGGTTCTAACTTGTGGCTTGCTCACTATCTGATGCCAGTATACTTACTATATGATGCACTACAGTACACACTTCACTCAGTAGAAACATCTACAAATTATCACCTTTAGTGAGGTGATGAGTGGACAAATTTTAAATCTACATTAGCTTAATGTACTGCTCTGTTTTGCTAATTTTTCACAATAGGAGTGCTGCGTGGTATTAAGATAATGAAGTTATTGCTGAAGAGTGAGAGGAAAACTTAATCTATACATTATAGATTTGACACATCAGTAAATTTCTTTGAGCTTGTGATATTTTTTTAGAAAAACTGAGAGGTCTTGATAATTCTAAAAAACAATATTTTCTAAGAGCAACATGGTGTTTTCTTTATGGAATAAAGTAATTTCCATATGAATTTGAAACAAATAATAAAGATGGAGAAACAGTGAGCTGCTATTGAACAACACTCTTAGTGATCATTGAATTCTACTTGTGTAACTGAGTATATGGTTAGATTTAACAATTTAGGTTTAATTTAATAATTTAATAATTGTTTCAATATCATTGATGTAATGACATTGGCTGTCCATATGTTTGCGTTTATCTTGAAAAGGATTGTCACTTTACAGTTCGAGGAGGAAGGCTAAGGGAAAATGGAGAGTACCAGCTACCTGTTGTTGTTCTTATGCTTAGCCTTCCCCATTCAGCAAGGGGTGCACCAACACTATTAAGTCCTGGCATGATGGAGAATCTCTTCCATGAAATGGGACATGCTATGCATTCTATGCTGGGAAGAACTCGGTACCAGCATGTCACTGGTAAGAATGCTTTAACAGTGATTTTTTTTGTTTTGTTTTAGTTAAATGTTTAATTTCCAGAAGAAAAGAGTGGATTAAAAAAAAAATCAGAACAAAACAAGGAAAAGAGAGTACGAACTAGCAATGGTTGAGTCATGCAGATAGTTCTACACCTTTGAAGACTTGAAAATGCAGTATCAGGTCCTCAGATATTATCTAAAATCAACCAAACAACTCTTGAATATTATTCTTCTTCTAATAAGAATTAGGCATTTGCACCTCTTCTTTATGTACTGTTGATCTTTGTTCTGTTGTTGGTACCCACTCTTGCAAGTTTGCCTTATGTGGCGTTTATAATTGTTGGAACACTTGGAGGATTGAAAATAGATTAAACTAAAGTTGTATCTGGGTTGGAAATGATTTAGGAAATTGAATGAAGAAGAATTAGTGAATTAGGTCTTGCAAAGAGCATACACTGGCAATATAGAAAAATCTGTAAAGCCAGGACTTTTCTAGTTGATTCTGATTAAAGCAAAACTGATATATTGAAAACATACTGTATTTGCAAGCATGACTAACTGGTGGGCCTTTTAGTCATACATGAGTGAACACAAACGAATATGCAATCACAGCTTACTGGATGCACAGGAAAGGAATATTGCCTTTTTTAATTTAGGCTCCTTTCTCAAGTAGTGGCAGTGAGTGTATTGGCTGACAGGTTGCTGGCTTCTATAGCCTTCTGCAGTTGTGGCAAATGGGTCCAAGACGTGCTGGCTAAGGCTGCTTGGCATGCTACTTTTTTTGGCTGTGGACAGCTTGGTATATTCTTTTCTATAACAGTGTGCTGAAAATCCCAAGTGCAGTGGACATTTACTTATTAAAAAGCCCACAACTGAACAGATGCGATTGCGACTTCCTTGTCTGAAGATTTTTTTTTAATGTTTTACTATTTTTACATTAGGCTAATGATACAAAGGGGTGTCTGTGGTACAGTTAATATTTTATCAATACATACCTCTGCAGCCAGAGGCAAAAGATACTTTTTTTTAAGTCTTCCACATAAAATTAAAATATGCTGAGCTGTTTCTGAGTATGTCTCTACTGGACATGGTTAAAACAACTGAAGACAGCATGAGCTCTTTCAGTATAAGCTCTGTGTAGTCCTTGGGACAGCTAAGGGCCCTCCCCCACTGCTTCCACTCATATAGCCTTGCTCATCTTGACCTGCAGGAGTACTTAGATGCCCAAAGTAACTGCTTTGGTGAGAGTTCTCTTGTGCTGAATCATGTGTCTGCATGTCAAAGTCTTAAAGGGGCAGGAAACGGCTAATTTTGAGACCTCAGACTTTCCAGGAACCCCTGTGTATGGTTTCAGTGTTGCCTTAGCTCCAGGCAGTCCTGTATCCCAGAGGATTTAACTCGAGATCTAGCATTGCAAAAGCAGCACTGGAGGTCAGTGGTGTTGTTTCTGCAGAGAATCTTTTTTTTTTTTTTTAGGATTTGGAATGCTTAGCAGTCAAAGGGCTTGTCCCAGGGATGTCTGTTAGGGGCCATCTCCTCTCATGAAACACTAGGGTGGCAAAGTATGGAAACAAGATGACTGCAGGCTATCGTGAGAACAAAAAATTTGACATTCTAGTTGAGATGAGATGAGTATTTGACATCTTTCCTGCTCTCTCCCACCTTCTTTTTCTGATTACATTCCCAAATGTTCAGGAACCCATCCTGCCCTCCGTGGGCCCAAAACTTGGATAATACTATATGGTTTTGACTTAAGATGTGCTTCTTTTTAAGCTAATCTTTCATTTTACCATATGCATTTATTGGTTGTTTCATGCATATGTATGTATAAGATTTTTCAAAATGTAGCCTTGAATTCCATTTCAGTTTATCATGCAGTATAGAATACCTACATTTGTTTTACAGGAGGGCTAACTTATCCCAGATAACTGCCCAACCTTTTACCTTTCTGATTTTCAGATAACATAAATCATGAGTTTCTTCAATGGTTATTAAAAGAATTATGTTACTTTGTTAAGGAGCACCGAGAAAGCATAAATACCTAGACTGGTGTAGTTTTGCAGGCTTTTGTCTTGGGACCTGCCTTGTTTTAGGCTTTTTGAAAATTATTTTCAAACAACAACAAAAAAAGACTACTAATGAAATGTGATGGCACAAAAGACGGATTGAGGTATTGCATAAGAGCTGAATGACTGGATACTAAAGTCTTAGAAGTAAAATATAATTCAGAACTACACAGTGCACATCATGCATTTGCAGAGTACAAAGAGAATTTATGCTTGGATTTTTCAGCAGTAGTGGAGAAACAGAAAAACAGTTTTATGTAATGCAGAACTGCATATAGCTAATGTGTCTGTGAAACAGTCAAATGTGGTTTGAAATTGCATTGGAGCTGTATGTAACAGCAGTACGTGTTAGAATGGTAAAGATACTGGTGAAACCTCATGCAATCTTGGGCATAGTTTTTGTGTCTCTAGTCTGAAGGTGAGTTCAATCTGAAGCAAGTACAGTGAAGAACTGCAATGGATAGTTTTTTAGACTTTATCTTGCCTTTGGATAATGATGGCTCTTAGAAGATGGTTTCTCTCAATTTAGGAGGTAAAAAACAGTGTGACAAATGCTGTTTATACTAAAGAGTAGTATTTGTCTGAAAACATTGAATATAAACATATTATAAATTAAGATTAAAAATTAGAGAAGGGTTTATGAAGATGAAATGAGTGATTTTAAAAAATAGTCTTCAAAAAAATAGTAAAAGCTTACATAGATTTAAGACTGATTTTGAATGTTGATATTGTCTCTAGCAGACAGGGATAGAGGTAATAACGCAGTGGGTCCATTATTAAAGCAACAACTTTTACATTGCTGACTTTAATACAGAAGTTAAAAATTCAACTTTGATTTGGTGATGTGTTATGCTTTTTAATAACTTCCATTGTGTAAGGTGCTGATAAAGATTAGTGTAAATAGAGTTTTTGGGAAAGTACTATTTGAAAATACTAACATATTACCTCACTGCACTTACACAGTGTCTTCAATCTGCAAGATTGTTCCTTGAATGAATGACTTGGTGTTATAAAGTGAGGTTAATATAAAACATAAGTAAGCTCAGCAAACAGATGGAAGCTAAAAATTGTAACTGTGAATGGGATTAAGGCAGAGTTTTATTTACATTGTAGTTTAATTTAGGTTTAGGACACTTAAATAGATTTGGTCTTTCATGTAGGGCCAGTTTGGCTACAGTCTGGTTTAGTTTAAAAAGGGTGTGATCCAGAGCTTTATAAGGTGCCTCACCCAGCTGTTCAAATATTTTGTTTTACTTTGTGATTTATAGTAAAATGTGTAGGATTATAATGAAGCTTTTCTGGCAATATGTACAATAATGGAAATAAAATATTGACTTAATAAATGAAAGAACGTTAAAGTTCACCAAAAGTCCAAACTGAAAGTTGCAAAACCTTTTGGGAGAGTTAACTATTTGTGTTAATGGAAATAGCAAATGCTAATATGTACAATTATTCTACCTCTAGGGACCAGATGTCCTACTGATTTTGCTGAAGTTCCCTCAATTCTGATGGAGTACTTTGCAAATGACTATCGAGTGGTTAACCAGTTTGCAAGGCATTATAAAACAGGACAGGTAGGGAAATCTAATGTGTAAAATATTGAAAATAGGAATTAATGTATTTAGGAAAAGAATAATATTTTCATCTGTAATTTATCAATAATGTTTAAAGTAGAAATAAACAATGGATAGAAAATATTTTAATATTATAATTTCAGTTATTCAGAAAAAAATGTATGTATTGTCATTGCAGAAAAGATAAATGTAATCTGCAAAAGAATACCAGATTCTTATATCCAAGGTTCAAATCACATACTTAAAAATTTCAGGCTTTTTTCTCTTACCTAGTGTAGTAGGTGAACAACTTCTGTGTGAATTATTTGAAATATTTTAATTTAATTACAGGTAAGTTATGACAAAAATAGGATTAATCACTGAACTCTCTAAAGTCTATCTTAAAATAAAGCTCAGGTACCAAATCATGGACAAAAAATCATGGAAAGGATCTGCAGTGTTCAAAAACTCCCATTTTTAACACAGTATGCGGTGATGATTGAAATAGTTTGTGATGAAAACCATACTGCTCTATTTAGGATTAAATTAGGATTAGTTAGATTCGGTTAGATGCATTTTTAATGCATCTCTGCATTAAAACTCTGATGCCTTTTTTACATGAAGCTATTGTGTATCAGTCTCCTGCAAGGATCTGCTTTCTGTGGAATATTTAAAGAACAGTGCTCTTTGGAACAAGGTGACTTTTGGTGATCGCTTTAAGATATGGCAGCAGAAAATTATTTGTATTTGTACAGACATTTCAAAAATGCCTCTTAAGTTGTTTGGTGTGTTACACTTCATTGAAGCTTTTTATCCAATACTAAGCATTCAGTGTATTTCAGTATTGTGGAAGTAGAATTATGTTTGCCTCCATTGAAAAGTTAGGAAAATATGTTGCTTAACTTCTATTTTAATGGATACTGTCTGAGAAATTTGCTCTGTAAATATTTTTTTTTTTTTCTGCAACAAAGCAACCATTTCTGTAGAATTGATTGCACTGATCTTGTTGAAACCTGGGAGTTAAGTGTACCCAGATCAGGAGTGTTCATCATTTATATGTTTGAGTCCACATACTGAAATATTGCTTTCTGGTGTTCTCTGTAAAGTTCATGTAGTGTTTAAACAGCATGGAGTTAATCTGACTGCATATGAGTTTAGAGAATGAGCTTCACTAAAACATCTGAAAGAGATTTGTGGAACATTATTTATGGCTTTATATTTTCAAAATGACTTAACAAATCTAAACCATGTTTAGTTTCAGTGCAAAAGCTAAGAACCAGATGCTGTGTCCCATTTGGCATTTCCATAAACTTCTTCTGTTTATTGGTGGTGAAATCTTCCTCTTTCAGAGAGCAATTGAGAGAAGTTTGATGTAGAAATTCAGTCTTGAAGGGGGCAAGAATGGATTATGCTGGAAGATGAGAAGAAGAGCCTGAAATTGCTCTGTGGCTTTTGAGGGCTTTAGATGGCTTCCTTTTAATTGCTTTTTGAAAATTTTGGAATGGATTTTTAAGCCATTATCCAACATATATAAATCTGCTTTTACTTATACTGGTTCATCTAAGCTGATTTTAAGAACCTAATATCGGATTTCTGTGTCTGCCATTTAAATATGAATAGATTGAAGTAATCTTTTCTGTTCTTGAAATTTAGTGATTGTTATACTAATTACTTTTATCTGTTGTGTATATGTTACAAAGTACTTCGAGTAGAAAATCCCACCTTTCTTACAACTTCGCAGAGATCTTTTTGGGGCTTATTTTCTCTGCTTTTTCCCTGATTAATTTTTTGTTGTGCAAATAGGAAATTCAATCTTTGTTTTTTTCCTCCATTTTTTTAGTTATTTGAAAGAAAATGAGTCCACTTCACCCCCTTTTCAAGGGGAAGTAAGGAAGGTGGATGAAAAAGTTAAAATGTGACATTTGTAAAACCATTTAATCCAAATGTTGTTTTGTATGAGAATTTCCACTGAGTTTCTTCTTATGAATTAAGAGACTGAGCTTTTCTGTGTGAGAAGGATCTTTTCTGCAACAACTACACCAACGTAGCTCTGCTGGACGTTGACAGAAGGAAGGCTTTCTACCGACCCAGCCTGTGGCAGAGGCCATGCAGATAATTTGAAAAAGCATCCTTCTTTTGGCATTGCTGCATCTACGTTTTTGCGGGTAGACTTCAGGTTGTGTAATTTTTAACAGTCCTATTGAACAGAATTACGTCAGAGAAACTTGTTAGTGTAGTCTGAGCTTATGATTGCCATTGCTATAAAAGCCAATTGTAGAAGGACTTATTCTTGATGATCCACACTTAGGATTGTTGCTTATGCTTATGGGAAGAGGAGGGGGGGAAGAGGTGTTTTGGTTATTAAAACATGTGGACTGTTGAAAACTGTATTTCAGTAGCATTGCAGAAAAAAATTGGTTGGCAGGCTTTCAAAGATGAGAATGCATTCAACATTTAGATGTAGATCATGAGGATGTGGTCCAAAGTATCTTGAAGTTTACAGAAAGCTTGTATCTGCTTTCTGTCCATTTTTGATGGTTGTGTTGTTAAATACAGAGGAGTGACAAAGCTTGCAAGCTCTTCTGGCAAAAGGAGCAAGTCTTTCGAATTTAGTTGTAAAACCTGGCCAGTACAAAAATGTTTGTTTCAAGAAAGTTGCAAGCCTACTTTTCCTTCCATCTGAAAGATAACTCAAAACAGAAAATCCTTGAGATAAAAAAAAGGAATAGAGGGGACTGCGTTAATTAGTTACTAAAGTTGAATTAGTCAGGTAAGCTCATGAGTCAAACCATACCGAAGTGAGGTCTGCTTAAGCAGACAATCTGGTGCATGGGTACCATTCTGTACCACTGTGTTTGTTTGTTTAATTTCAGTTGTTAAGTGCACAGATATGTGGTAGGTCTGAGCTAAATCATTTTAAGCTTGTGTGTCTTTGGAGGCTCTCTTTAACAAAGGCCAGCATTTCAGCTGTTCAAATTTGAACTGAGTTCATTTTTCACAGAGATGGAATTACAAGGACAGTATTGTATTAGCATGATTACAAAAGTAAGCCCACAGATAGTTAACAATTGTAATGTATTGCAGTTACTACAAAACAATAAGGAGTTAAGAGTGCTTTGGGACACAGGGAATTCTTTTAGCTACCATGAAAAACATACTGAAAAATTCATTCCAAGACCTTCAAATTACTTAGAAGAGAAGGATGGAAAAGTGGAATGCAAAGTAAAGCATATAGTGTTTAGATTTAAAAAATTGAATGGTTATTCAATTAATAGAGTTGTAACCAAAGCTCTGTGAAGGCTGTCTTTCTTTTAGAAGGAGGATGACTGTTGCATTCTGGTTTTATCCAAGTGCTCATCTTTTAGGATAAGTAAAATACTCATGCTGATTTTTTTTCCTTCACTCAGCTGCTTATCAATGGGCTGTGTGAGATTGTAATGAAGCAAGGAGGAAGAGTTTCTATTGCCTGAAACAGTACATCTTCCTGAGTTCAAGACCTCAGCATATCTGTGTGCATGACATTCACAGAAACATACCTTAGAGAACAGTAGTGATCTCTGAAAAACTCTCTGGAGTAAAATTTTGTTTCCCTGAAATCTTAAGATTCCAAAGGTGTTTCGGGGAAAAATAAGTGATCTCTTTATCATTCTTTCAATTTAATCTAATTTTTTTTGTATTTGTGAAGGGTAATATTGGCCCAACAAGGATATACTGCAGGACAGGCTTCGTGTTTGTTCGTTCATTTTTGTGTGTTGAAATTTAAAAGCTGTGCACATATATGACAGGCAAAATAGTGGATGTTGTTCTATACCATTCTTGACCCAGCTAACTTTTGACTTGGAGAAGAGGTTAAAAGTGTTAGCAAGTATTGCATAAACAGCCATGCAACTTGATAGTTTTTCTTACCTGCTTCAAGTTCCAGATTCCACAGAGTTAATTCATAATATTTTCTTCACTTATGTGTAACTTCTCTGAGCTGGATTTTTTATCCTGTGAACATTGTTTGTCTTGAAGTCATATAATTTGGACCAAATCTAAACATATGGCTCTGCCATATCTATAGACTTTCTTGTATTATTTCTCAAACACTGTAACACACTATAAAAAGCATAGGTATGATTTTAGAGTCCGGTTTAATAGTGAGCATCCATATTACATTGTACAACTTGTAGTACCTTTCTTAATATTTTAGCAAGACCCTAGTTATTTTATCCCTGTTTAATTCATTTGGTTAAGGCAGAGTGATCTGGGAGGGCTTTAACTGCTCCAATCTGTTCTTTATCTCTAAAGATAGTAATAACATTTTTAACAGGCATATAAGGGAATATGACATCAATTTATAGAAAAACAGAGACACAGTGATTTCTCTATTGCTATGTAAATTACTGCTGATATCTTAATTGACTGTTTAATGCTTTGCTCCACAAATGAGATTTCCTTCCTCAATGCAAAGTACTTCAAATGTGGTTTTATTACCATCAAGTTTTTTTGTATCCTCAGCCTCTTCTAGTAATTACCATCCTGTTTAAAAATGTATAATAATTCTGTGATCTGAATTTTTTTTTAATTCAAGCCACTACCCAAAAACATGGTGTCAAGACTGTGTGAGTCCAAAAAGGTGTGTGCTGCAGCTGATATGCAACTCCAGGTATGTTCTTTGCATTCTAGTTTCTATTCTCTATTCAGAACTTAAAGAACATATTTTGGTTCCTATGATTTTACCAAATTTTAATTTTAATGTAGACACATTATCTGTTTTTTTTCTTAATTGTCATGTTTGTTTTTCTGAATGTGTTCTGTGCTGTCTACTTCAAGCTAAATGTCTAAATCTGTAGGAAAATATGATGAAACTCATGGCTTTGAAAATGTTAGCATTATCAGAATTCCCATGTGTGTTTTAAGATTGAATTCTTGAATTAATGGAATCATTTATGGAGAACTTGAAGTAGAGGACATATTGGATACCTGAAATCATTAAAATGTTGCAGGACTGAGAGATACAGGCCACCTTAGAAAAATCAAACCATCATGTTTATTTAGTACAACGTGATTTGAGCTCCTTGTCTTCTGTAGCTGCACTATGAAAGTGACGATTTATCACATTGGAATTGCTGGCTGAGCTGTAAGCATGTAAGATTTCTCTCTCACAGTGTTAGGAGAACTAACTAAATTCATAAACCTTTATTTTCTCTGGGTAGGTGCGATTGATCAGTCATTCACATAAACAATCAGTGTTGCTGTTCTTCAAAGAAAGTAAGGGAAGTTAGGGTTCTGTCTAAAATGGGTATTTGGTCTTTTTCTGTCGTACAACAGCAATTCTCCGATGTGTACTGTAGCATTAGCATCCAGTCAAGGGTTTTTACAGTGCAAGTTTGGCTGCTTTTAGTGTGCTAGAAGTTTCTGCTGTGTGATTTTTGTGATTTTGTTTTCTTCTTTGTTTTGCCTTAAGCCAGAAGCATATAAGTTTTCCTTTTACAGTTAACCTGGTGTTTAGGTGAGATAACTCTGCTAGTACCTTAGTAAAGTTTAGTTATTATTTTTGAGATGTAGAAAGAAACAAATTTAAAGATCAGATTTTTTGTAATTTTTCGCTTTGAGGAGTTTCCAAATGATCACAACCCTGTCTACAAGCATGAGTTGCAATGGTTAACTGAAGTTGATCTAAAATTAAAACTCAGTTAAATATTGGCAGTTTGCTCTGTGCAGTTATTTGAAGGAATTTAAAATTAATCAGAAGTCTGGAGTGTGGACCTGTAAATTGTACACACGTCAGTTACACTAATTAAAGCCAGACTGAACACTGTTTTCAATGTATACATGTATTCTTCATTGGTTAAACCTAATGGACTTTTGAATTATGCTTTCAGTGCAGTGCTGGCTGTCAGCAGCCAGGGTTGGCTGAGAAAGTGTCAACAAGAAGGGTGCTATCTGTGGCTATACCTCTGTGACATGCAAATATAACTGCACCCTCTCTGCAGGTCTGATTTTGAAATGCACACTCCTGGCTTTGGAAGATTCTCATAGAGATATCTGATAATCTAGAAAGAATGTGGGCAAGAATATAAATAGTTCATATAGGATGTTTTTATTGGGGGCAGAAAAATTCTAGATGGAAATAAAATTTGTGCTGCGAATGCTTAATTGTGAACCTATATTCATGAGTGCACAATGCATGTGTGGATTAGTAACCACCAAAGTGATGATCAAGTCCTTTCACATGTGCCCATTCTTTCCTAGTGTGTCCACCCATAACAGCTATTTATAGATCTGACAGATTTCCTTTCAGCTTTTAATATGTATTTGCCATAATCTTGTCAAGGTTTGAGACCAAATTGGCAGTGTGGAGGCTAAATGGGCTTGTATACCAAGAACACTGTAAGTCGCAGATATATTCCCAAGTGACATGGCCTCCCTGTCCTGCGGTGCGACAGATGGCAGATTCCAAAAGGAGAGGTCATCGCATCAATTGCTCCTGTTGGGCTGTGCAGTCCCCCTGCTGCTGTTGGCCCTCAGCTGCTTTTGGGGCCTGTTACGACCCGCCCCAGGAAAAGAGAGGGGGGGGGGGTAACCCAGGTTTTATCAAAAATTCCTTTGGGGTGGATTAAAGCGAAGCGACGCTAAATAATCGGTGTATGAAAATATATAAGATTTATTTCAACAGTTTTGTATCAACAGGTAAGTTAATAAGATTCATTTTAACAGTTTTGTATCAACAGATAGGTTAACATTTTGGGGTGCTGTCATAATCAATAGGTAAACTAACACTTTTGGGTGCTGTCATAAGCTTTCTGGGGAGGAGAAAAATGCATAGGGGAGAGAAAGGCAGGATAAGAGCCAGGGAGAGTAAGGGAAAGAAAAGCTGAGAGTAGATAGATGTCCATAGTCACCGCCCACGGGGTCCAGCGATGCTTGATGGTCTTGATTCGCAGGCGGTGGGGGAGAAGAACTCCCAAATTCCCAAAGTCACCAGTCAGTTTATATGCTCTAGCGCCTCCTGGCATAAGGGGTTGTTTTTCCCTTTTTTGGGAGGAAACAGTAGACAGTCAAGAGCCCGCAAGCTCGGCTCCTTCCCGGCAGGTGTGTCAATAGCCCGAGGTCGTTGTTTTTCTTTTAGGAGGAAACAGTCAAGAGCCCGCAAGCTCGGCTACTCCCCAGCAGGTGTGTCAAAAACCCGAGAATGCATAAAACATCAACTATTTTAGTCTCTGACACCACCCCGTGATTTATGCATTCAATAGTTTTTCTTCTTTTGTCGTTCTCTGTGAATCTTCTTTGTGGGCGGTGCTTTTCGTATAGTGGACAGGGAGACAGAAGAGTGAAGGAAAGGAAGAGATTGCCCTAATGCATTACAATTCTCCCCCCCTTCAAAAAAAAAACAAGCTAATTGTATAATAACATAGTAAGCTAATTTGCACTAGTTACTCTCTCCACCCCGTGAGTAGTCATAGGGGATGTAATAGGATCTCAATGACTACAATCAAATTTCTTAACATTAATGAGGTTACAAACATACATAAATATTTGAAATTATACATCAAAAAACACTGAGTTACTTGGGAGCTGGTAAAAGGCTTTCTTATGTTTTCTTTTAGGCCTAAATTTAGTTCCGTTTTTGTTAAATTTAACCAAATATAAAATTCAATGCCTTTCAAGGCAGAAGACTAATGTATATAATGCATATTCATATAATTCTAAATATGCATAAATACTTGTACTAACTCCCAGGTTATATTTGGTTGAGTTTCTCAATCGAGAGAGATATTTAAAAGGACAAAATGAACTTGACAAAAATCAAATTAATAGCACATCTTATACAATTTTACCAGTGAGTTGCTCACATTCAAAAGCTTCTCCCAAACTAACCTGCCCCCCAACAAAATAATAAAACAAACTTGGCAAAACGAAACTAGCAGTACATAAAATGGCTCGTCCTACATAATCTTATCAGTGAATTGTTCATGATAAAAAAAAAACAACAAAACAAAACCCAGATAAGTCAACAATTATTAATAAGCTGATAACACAAGTAATTCTGGGAGTAGAGGGAGCACAAACACAATGTTTGTGGCAAACTTTTACATATTGAGACAAAAATACATATAGGCATGCATATTACAAAGTTATTAAGATAAAAACATTAAGAACAGTATAAGTCTTCAGTCCTGTTGCTATTTCGTTTTCTCATGGAGTACTTGTAAGTTGATAATAGAAGCAGTTGTGGGGGCAGTTATCTCTTCTGCCTCTTGCTGTAATTGAGGCTCCATTGGTTCCATGCAGTTTGATCTCATCTGCTGGCAGGTTTCTGCAAAAGAACAAATCTGGCCCACTACGGACCCATTATTAAAAAGAAGGAACTATCTATTTATCCAACTCCTTTTCTTATCTGGCATAATGTTACTAGGGCAATAGTAATAGAGAAGTTTGGAACATGTTTTCTCCAAAAAACAAATAAACTCAAACGGACAGAGAGGGATGGGAGACCAAACACCCATTCTCTCCCTCTGGCATCTCTCCAGGCTCGACCCTTTAATAAATCTAACTCCAGGATATTAGCTGGTAGTGGCCCCACAATCATGGTAGTTTCTGGGGCTGTCTCATCTCCAGGTAAGCAGCATTTCACTCGAGCAGTGTATTGGGGTTGGGATTTGCCAAAGGCATCAGTTACCCATATTTCCTTTTTGTCTGGCTTAATGCCACACTGGGTAGCAGCTTCAGTTTGGAGTGCTGAGACCTGTGCACCCGTGTCTACCATGAATGTAACTAAAGATTTAAAAGGGCCAAGAGGAAAAGTGATTACCAAATCTCCCTGGTTGTTTTCTGTAAGCTTTCTCTCATAAACCCACTGGCTATTTTTTGGCTTATTTACTTGAGGGCAGTAAGTCCAGTTCCTTGACTCAGAACTGGTCAAACTGGTTAGTCCGGTTTCTGGAGAGGCTGAGGGGATCACAGTGTTGGACTCCTTAGAGGGGCTGCCCTTAGGGGGTGCTTTGTGCTCTTTGATCTTATCCCAGTGCTTTATCAAGTATTCTAAATTAGCAGTGGGTAATTTATCCATCACTTCTAGAGGAATTCCTTTTGCAACACCTTCTCTCCACAGACTGTATCTCTTTCTTCCGCTAGATGACACATTTTGTTGACAAATACCTGGCGAGGCAGGTTTTTGGACTTTCCCTGCCCTCCTGCAGTGTGTTCTCTGGCCATTGGTACCAGGGAGCCCCAGCTGCTGACCAGTAGCTATTAATTCTTGGGCTATTTCCAACCAGGTTATTCCTGATGGAGCACCCCTTCCTCTAGGTCTGGGGGTTGCCTTTATGCGCTCCTGTAATTGTTTAGCATAAACTTTTAGTGCATCAGGCAGGCCTCGAATTAAAACTGGAAATCTCTGTGGATCTGCCTCGAGTTCCATTGGGGAATTTCGTTGTGGGTCTAATAATTTTGTATGCATTAACTGGAGACATGCGGTTTTTTGTACACTTTTTACAATGTGGCCAATTGTGGGTGTTTTAATCGTGTAAGGATCTCCCCTTTCTATAGGGTCTAACCCACCTGCCCAGTAGGCAGCTCTCTGGGTCAGGGACCACGGGGCTCGGTTATCATTTGTGGTCAGGAAAACCCCAGGGCCCCAAAATCCTCTGGCCTCATCTTCACTCAACAAAATCCGATCTCCCCCAGTAAGGGATACCCTCCACACATATTCAGTCTCTGACTCACTGGCCTTACGGCTATATTTTTCCTGAATTTTGGCCAGTGCTTCCCCCGTGTACGGGGTAGTTCGTGTGGTAGTTTGCCGATCTGCCCCCTGGCCAGTGGTTTCAGTTTTAATGAGGGGACGCATATGTATT